AATTTAAATTCAAGTTAGTTAACATACATTGTGGTCTCGGCTTCAGGAGTAGAACCCAGTGATTCATTTCTTACATATGATACCGAGTGCTCATCCTGAAAAATGTCCTCCGGGGGCGCCTAGGTGGCTCAGTTGATTAAGTGTTCGACTTCGGCTCAGGTCATGATCTCACAGTTCTTGGGTTCAAGCCCCGCATCGTGTTCTGTGCGGGTAGCTCAAAGCCTGGAGCCTGTTTCAGATTCTGTGTCTCCCCCTCTCTCTGCCCCTCTCCCGCTCAGGCTCTGTCTCTCTGTCTCAAAAATAAAATTAAAAATCTATTTTAAAAAAGTGTCCTCCTTAATCCCTATCACCCATTTAACCCATCTTCCTACTCCCCACCGCTCCCCAGCAGTCTTCAGTTTATTCTCTATATTTAAGAGTTTCTTATGGTTTGACTCCCTCTCTGTTTTTATCTTATTTTTCCTTCCTTTCCCCTATGGTCTTCTGTTGAGTTTCTCAAATTCCACATATGAGTGAAATCATATGCTGGGTCTCTTTCTCTGACTGACTTAAGTCACCTAGCATAATACCCTCTAGTTCCATCTACGTTGTTGTAACTGGCAAGATTTTATTCTTTTTCATTGCCCAGTAGTTGTCCATTGTATATATTTAAATTTAAAAGCAAAAAAGTATAAAAAGAAATATTACTGTGAGAGAGCACCCACTATACCACTTAGCTAGTTCTCAATACAGTTATTTTTAAATATATGCCTGTATAGATCAGCTAAATATATACATTATAATCAAATATCATTTATATTTTTATATAATTTCTACATTATATAGCTAAGTATGCACGGTATATTTATTTTATGTATATGTAAATATATATCCATATGGGTGGAGAGGCAGTGTGGGACATGGGTGTGTCTAGTAGTTCCTTGAACAAAGGTCATCAAGGTGACTGTGGGAAGGCATATTTGAATCATATTGGGATCCTCCTTAGGGCTTTAAATATAATAGACACTTGGAAATTACTTCTTGCATAAGTAAATAGACTGGTGATTCAGTGAAAGAGTAGTGAACACATTACCCAAAAGGTTTAATTCTGCTGTCATCCTAACTTCTTTCAAAGTTAGAAAGGAACGTGATGAGCTTGGGTCCCTTTTACATGTGACTCCATTGAAGAAATAGCAACCTTAATAATTGATCTTGTCCATGGATTCTTGACACCATCCTGGGGAGTAGACTCTGTACCTTGCTCATGGTTCACTGGCACATTTTTTATGCAAATGAATGAACTGTTCTTTGGCTCTTAAGCCAAGATGTCAGTGGTTTGCTAGACAACCAGTGGCTTTAGGGATGTCAAACATTTTAAAATATTTATAAATTAGGATTATATTATAATTGGAAGAATCTAATATTTGGTGCCTTCACATTCCCTTTTGAGATTTTTTAAAATTTTTTTTAATGTTTTTTTTTTATTTATTTCTAGGAGAGAGAGAGAGAGAGACAGCGTGAGCAGGGGAGGGTCAGAGAGAGAGGGAGTCACAGACTCTGAAACAGGCTCCAGGCTCTGAGCTGTCAGTCAGCACAGAGCCCGACGTGGGGCTCGAACCCACGAACCGCGAGATCATGACCTGAGCAAAAGTCGGACGCTTAACCGACTAAGCCACCCGGGCGCCCCTCCCTTTTGAGATTTAAAATCCTTTTACATCACTAAAATCTGTTTGTTGGAGGAAGGGCCAATGGGTTAGATATAATTTTTGAAAAATTTTAATGTTATCTATTTTTGAGAGAGAGACAGAGTGTGATCAAGGGAGGGGCAGAGAGTGAAGGAGACACAGAATCCGAAGCAGGCTCCAGGCTCTGAGCTGTCAGCACAGAGCCCGACATAGGGCTTGAACCCACCAACTGGAGATCATGACCCAAGCCAAAGTCAGACACCCAGTGAACTGAGCCACCCAGGTATCTAGCCACCCTAGATAATAATTTTTAAATATTCTCATTCATGCAACCGAGAGGACCTCAGCAAAAGGAAGATGTTGAGCAGACCTTTGCTTGTCATTCAAAAATAGTTTGCTCAAAAGAGGGGAAATAAGAGTTTGGAGTTCTTAAGACAAATACCTTCAGCCATTATCAGTACCTGGTCCAGGCAGAGCAAAGTCCCCCACCATTTAATGATACTCCGTGGTAGTCTTCTTAGCATCAGCATGAAGTTGGGTGGCCGAGAGGTCCTCCTCCATTTAGCAAGTTCCTCTAGACCAGTCCCATCTCTCTATCTATCTCTGAACCAGTTCTTCCCTCTGCCTAGAAAGTTCCTCCTCCCGATGTGCCCACAATTGGTCCCTCCCATGCTCTGGTGAGAGTGACAGATGCCACCGTATCCCCACCCAGTGATATCTTTTCCAACCACCCTTCCTAAAAGTTCAGTTCTTCCCATGCATATCCTCTCTTCCTTGCCTGTTTAATTTTTCTCTTTAACATCCCGTTCTAGCACACTTCATTGTCCCCCTTACCGTATGCATTACCCACCTGCCTGGCTGGAATGCAAGCTCCATGATAATCAGGATTTTTCAATGCTTTCTTCACTCTCCCTATTTCTTTTCTTTTTTTAATGTTTGATTTATTTCTGAGAGAGAGAGAGAGAGAGAGAGCAGGGGAGGGTCAGAGAGAAAGGGAGGTACAGAATCTGAAACAGGCTCCAGGCTAGCAGTGAGCCCAGAGCCCGACGCAGGGCTCGAACCCATGAACCGTGAGATCATGACCTGAGCGAAGTCGGAGGCCTAACCCACTGAGCCACCCAGGTGCCCCCTCACCCTCCCTATATCTAAGAGCAACAGAGAACTCTATTTCTGACAGCGTCTAACACAAAGACACAAACGTACTTGTGCCAACAAAGATGTGCTCTCCTCTCTCAAACATTCTGAAGTTTAAATCCTGGACTTAAACAGATCCCATGCATCTTCTTACTGTCTATCCCTTTTCTTTAGTCTCACCTCCCCAAAGCCCAATATGCACTTGTTATTTTGCAAGACAATGAGATGGGAGGGTCTGGAGCTGGCCTCAGCCTTTTAGCCTCTGGACACTGGTGGACAATCCCTGCCCGTTTGTGGAACAGTGTGGTTCATTGATCTTCTCTCAACTATTGTTATTCTTGCTCTGAACCCTTCCTGAGATTCACAAGTGACCCTAGCATCTTGTCTAGTTAACTGTGAAAACATTGTAGAAATAGTTCCTTTCCAGAATGCTCTAATAAGACTTGGTCACAACACCTGGCTGCATACATAGCACAGGAGAATGATGTTTAGCCTCCTGGATCAGGCCCTGAGCTACATAAGTGTCCTAGAAGAAGGTCAGATCCTTGCCTTGATGAAACGTATTTCTTTGCAAAGAGAAATGCTCTCAATTCCTGCGTAACATATCATTGTCTTTTCAACACAAAGCACTTCTAAATTGATAAAATTGGAATTTTCTGGTGATCATCATATGAAGCTATTGAGCATCATTTTGATATCAAGAATAACCTGTCTGCCAACAAAGGTTCTAAAGATTTTGAAAGGAACTTGTGACAGCACTAGAAGTAAGCCCTGCTTTATTATTGCCTTTCCATCCAAGATCAAGACATGTACTTATTCATTTATCTGTAGATTAGAATTCTACTCCAGAGTTAATCACCTGAGATGGATAGAAAATGCTTGAGGGAGATAAGACGGTGTTACCAGTGTATTACCAGGAAATGATCCTGATCTCACAATAGTGCCAAACTGTATCGGATGGTGGCCAGTCTGCCATCTTTGGGAATACATCCAGCTTGCGTTGGTTTGGCCGGTTGACTAGGATCCATTTATAATGTCATCCTATGAACGTCAACATGGAGAGAGGGTGTTCAGGCCTGCTGGCCAACAGGCCCTCTTCCTCATGAAATAGCAAAACAATCTGAGTTTCTGACATCCTTGTCCCTCCTCACCATTGCTGCCTCAACACAGAAGGAAATGCACTTGAAGAGAGAGAGAGCTACTCTACATAAGTTGGGTAACACTAGCTGCCTTAGGAAACAAGACCCTAATTGTCAGTGTCTTACCATAATAGAGGTGGGTTTCCCTCCCATATGCCCACCCCCCCCCCCCCGGGGCTCTAAGCTGCAGGTGGTTTCCGTTCCAGCCATTAGTCGGGACCAGACTCCACTTCCTAGGACATTGGAATCCTCTGAGCTCAGCTGACCGAGGGGAAAGAGAGGACCTGAAGGGTAACAGTCACTTTACCTTCACCCAGAAGTATCCCACATCACTTCACCTCTGTTCATATCCATGGCCGAGAATTAGTCCTCTAGCCCATCCTGGAGCAAGGGGGCGGGGCAGCCCCTCTGGACCATGGAAGGTGGAACATGAACTATGCAGGGAAGGTTGGCCAACTTTGCCACATCCACTGTAGCCCTGGTATTCTGAGGCAAGAGCAGGGCCCACACTTCCAGTCCCCTGCACTCTCTTACAGCTGTGCCTTGAGAAGCAGTGATTTGCCCTTCACAGACCCGACTGCCAGTACCAGCCGGCCCTCACCTGCAGTGGGGTTGTGCCCGTGGGACTGTGGAACTGCTATGCACAGCCATTTGTACCTGCCTCTTCTTTGTGCTTTCCAACCAGGACATCGGTGTGTGTTCATATTACAAACTGCAGGTCCCAAGAACTCATGTTCCATCGTATCACTTCATACAGAGCTGTTAATCGTTGTCCCTAATGAGATCTGTACAAATTCGTCGATTTGAAAACTGTCAGAAGAGAATTTCTTTTTTGATAGAGCACTTCTTCCTTGGCGGTGTGGGCACTGTGCCGGAGTGGATCTCAGGATGTAGCCGAGCCTGCCTCGATTTAGGCAAGGCAGTTAAGCCTTGGTCCACAGGGGCTGACGGTGGACATGTGGGCAGCTCCTGTCGGCGAGCCCCATGAGTATCTGTATTCAAGGGAAGGCTCAGGAAGCCACTCCGTGTCCCGATGGCTGACCGTCTCAGGTCTTCCCCACAGGTTCCCATTCCCCATGGTGTTCAGCAGCTGCAGCAAGAAGGACCTGGAGGCCAGCCTGGAGAAAGGCATGGGAATGTGCCTCTTTAACCTGCCGGAAGTGAAGCAGTCTTTCGGGGGCCAGAAGTGTGGGAATGGATACGTGGAGCAAGGAGAGGAGTGTGACTGTGGAGGGCCAGAGGTAAGAGACCGTCCCCACCCCCCAGGACTGCCGCCTTGCATCTGTGGCTGGCAAAGGAGTAGGAAGAATTATGTAGCGGAACGAAAGTGCTAGAAACTCACGATGGAAAGTCCTAAACAGGCCCCCCTCTTGAACAGCTGTGCAAGCCAGGGCGGCCTTCTTGGATCATAATGATGACACAGAATAAATTGTATCACTGCTTTTAAAAAGATAAAGAATCTTCTCTATTGAAGGACAAGGTCTAGGTGAGGCAAGCTGAGGAGAAGAATAAAAAAAAGCATTTAGCTTTGAGTTTAACAGAGAAGGAAGCTTTGGGAATGCTAGCTTCAAATGGCTAATAAGCATCATTTCTTTCTCCTCACAAGGCGAGCGACCAGAGGAGAATTTGAATAAGCAACATTCATTTTTAACCAAGAGCTCTCACCCAAGTTGAAAACCTGCCTGATGCTGCAGCCTTCTCTGTATGCACAACCCGAGGCTACAGGCTCTGCCTCTTTGCTTGTTAGCTTTCAGAAGCAATAAGCAGAAGCAGGGAACATTTTTATCCAGCAAAGGGCTGATTTAACCCTGTTTTCCAGCCAATGTCAGGCAAAATGTCTTATTTCCGTAGGGCCCAAGATAAACATAATCAACATAAAAAATTATAACGGCCACTTTTTGATCTCTGAATGATCTTGAGAAGGAAAGAGAAAGCACACAGTGAGATCTCCTGGTAAAACAAGGGCCTCCTGGAAGCCTGGAAGAGGCTGTGTTTAGAATAAATCAAAGCAGGTCATTTGTATAGCAAGCAGTCTGCATGTTGGATTCCCTCCCTGAGGGCTTACGCAAGCGGAAATGGTAGATGGGTTCAAGGTGGGCTTAGCTAGATTCACAGACAGGCTTGGTGAGGCCTTAGGAAAAGCATGTGTGGGAGGGCTGCTCTGAAATGGGGGTTCTAGGGTAGAAGGAAATGTACAGAGATCCTCGGGCTATCCGTCAAATTCCTGTGCTCATCAGACAGACAGCCGGTTGTAGAATCTTCTTCATAGTCCTAATTCTAAGATCATTCCTGCTGGTATGGGCAACCGCAGAGCCTTGGGAATTAGGACTATGAAGAAGATTCTACAACCGGCTGTCTGTCTGATGAGCACAGGAAGTCCTTCTATCTGGCCCTCTGCAAGAATGCTGGGAGCGAATAAGTACTGGGAGATGGGGCTAGTAGAGGTGGTCCCGTCAAACGTTTGCACGCCCTTTCCAAACCCGGGACTCAACAGTGATACCAGCACTGTATCACAGCAGCAATAATTATGCTCACAATGTGTTGGGGGTGATTGCTGTACAGGAGCAATGGGATCATAGAAACTCTTCTTAAGATTAGAGAATAAACTGAGGACTGATGGGGGTAGGGGGAGGGGAAAGGGAGATGGGCATGGAGGAGGCACTTGTGGGGATGAGCACTGGGTGTTCTATGGAAACCAACTTGACTAAACTATTTTAAAAAAAGGTTAGTGGAGGAAAACTGGAAACTGTCACAGGGTGGGGTATACAAAGGGGAAATTCTTTGGAGACTTTGTTAATCACTTGAAGAAGAAAAACAAAATTAGTTTAAATTGCCCATGTTTCTCAGGAGAGACCATGCAGACTTAAAATGGTTTGTCTTTGATTTGAACTCCTTGTAATTGTTTAATCTAAATAAATTTGACAGCGCTTCCTAGAGTCATGAACTCTCAGGTTTAGAATGATGATCAGCAGTCATTCGCTCCACATTCCAATACCACCAGCATGGCCACCACCCTCACCGTTACCACCACTATCCCCACCACAACCACCCCCATCAGTACCATCCCCACTACCAGCATCCTCACCACCACCATCCTCTCAACAAATGTTTGAGTGCCTGAAATTTGCCAGCCGCTGATGTGGTCCTCAACTTCACCCCCATCAAGGAGTCATTCGGCTTTGACCAGGTGCTTCCTGTCTCTCCAGGCAGAATGTCCTGGCAGAGCAGTGCTGATTAAGTCAATCTCCTTCCTTATGTAGAACCAGCCACATTCTACTTGCAAATAGTTCCCAACTGGATCTTTCTGTGGTTGGGTCCTTATTTCATAGGCTAAGTTCTTGATATTTGAAGAGAACTATCATTCTTTCCATTGAAATTTCTTTCAAAGTCCAAGAAATCTTTCAACGTTCTAGGCAAGCCTCTTACCTCAATTTGTAGTTTTTTCATTTTTGCTTTCCGCATTGTGTCCAAGAGTATAACAACCCATATTCAGCTTCCAAACTGCTTTGACCAAAACTTTTAGTCAGACCTGGGCTTAATTCACCTGGACTCTTTAGCCCCCTGCCCAGTGCTCAGGCCCTGAAAATATCCCTCACGCCTTTGCTTCCTATCAGCCCATGCATTCCCTGGCCCACAGAGGGACTCAGTGTCACCACATTGGTGAGCGAAGGGGACCAGTGCTTCCCCAGGTCGTAACTGGACCATCCTCTGCCCCCTTGCTGCCAGAAATAATCGCTGTTTTCAAGAGGATGCATTGTAGACTTAGCTCAGTGCATTGTGATTAAGAATTTGTGTCTACCACCCACATCCCAAGAATGACACAGCCTTTGCAGAGAATTCTCTAATGGCTTCATTATTCTTTTTTTCTTTGGAGACTTAGTGTTCATTGGCTCTGTTGACCTTTTCTATTGAGTACTAAAATAATAAATGTATCAACAGATGAAGAATTGGTCTCTTCTGATAAATACAGTCCTGCAGAAGGAATAGATTCTGGGTAGTTAAAAAGGCAAGTGACTGCTAAAGTCTTCTGCACAGAGCATTGGATTTACATCAACCACAAGAATATCCTGACAACTCACTAGTTCATCCAGCCAACAGGGTCAGAAAAGCAGCCCTGAATCCTTGTTTAAAGTCAATAGAATGCCAGTAGCCTGCAAATATCTTTTAAACTTAGTTATCTTTCTCACATTATCAATCCCCCTTGAAGTCAAAGCCATTCTACTTGGCTGCATTTCCATTTGAACTGCTGCTTATGTTATTTAGTGATTTGGTGTGGGGTGGGGGAGGGGAGGTGGTAGTTCTTAAAGAATCTTAGGACCCAGGTTTCGGGTGGCTGATTTAATGTAGAAGCCCAAGGAAATCTGTAATTTGGTTCGTATGTCATTAGTAGGGCCGTTTAGGCCACAGTGAACAGGATGACATTGCTGTGTATTTGATGGCACTGATCAGGAATGCAATCAATAGACTTGTGGGGATGAGCACTGGGTGTTATATGGAAACCAACTTGACAATAAACTATATAAAAGAAAAAAAAAAGTTCCTAAACTTCTTATAGAAGTCCACGTGTTAGAAACCCTTACTGTCATAAGAGTAACAGCTATGACTTCTGGTTGGCTCTTTCATCTTATTGTATATATTATACACTCCAGATGTTTAGAAGGTCTTTGAGGAAATTTAAAATTTAATAACTTTGGATGGATGTGTAATGGGAGCAAATAGTAAACCCCAAATGAGAGCATGATTCATAGAGTCTCACATAGGGCACAGTTCAGAGATCTAGGATGGTCCCAAATCTTCTGGATTATACAAGATTTCATTAATTGCATTGTAATACTAATGATAAATTCACTAACAGAAGATGGTTTTCAGGAGTAAAATATTATACTTTTAAAGTACTACATGATTGGTTTCACTCTAGCTAATAGTATACATATTCTTCTCATGTCACATACTAAATAAAAGGACATTAATTAATTATACTAAAAGGACATTAATACTATAAGGGCATTAATTAATACCAATTAATACTAATGACCTCATGAACTCTTCTTTCTGATAATTCGTTTTCTTCTAAGCTGTGTAAACTCTGGGTTATTGGGATGTTCTAAAGTACAAGGACTTCATAAATACACTAGATAATATGTATAGACCTTTTTTTGAGAGCTGAGTGATGGCCTCCATTCCTTGTGGGGTGTTTGTTAGAAAACAGTGGGTATTTGTGAAGAACGGCCTAACAAAGGAGGTCATTTTCTCTCGTTTCCGAGAGAGCAGTACATCTCATATGTGATCTATCTGTTTAAATCCCTTGCAAATCCACGGGCACAGACCATGGACCTCTTCTCTGGCCTCTTGGTCATTTCGATGTGCATTTCTGACCTGAGAGGTGCCTTGTCCAGGTGAGGCAGCCCATATGTGTGGATCAAGAGTCTTGGCTACCGCATTTGATTGCAACTGTAGTTCCATAGTTGAATTGACCCCATTTCCTGCCAGCACGCTCCAGAGTCAAAGGGTCAGCATTTGAAGAGTTAAGTTTGTACATGTCTATGTATATTCTTAAATAAGTGAGTTAAAAGTGTTCCAGCAATCCCAATATAGTTCACTGCAATAAGACCTGCATGAATCATGAACCAGAGGCCTCCCTACAGAGCCCCAGCCACGGCCAACTTGACCGGATCCGGCAGCCTGCCTTCCCGCGCAGGCTCCCTTATCCTCCGTGAAAGGCACTGAGTGCTGCTGACTCTTCCCAGGGACTCCACAGACCTTGTCAGTTCATAAACACTTAACAGAAGCTTGGCTTTGTTAGACGTGAAGATAATCTCGGTCAGGCTGAGTTTCAACTCCTTCCCTTTACAGCCGGTGCCTTCCATGAGTAGTTGCCCCATGTGACCCTATCAAATGAGTCCCAATCTCTTCCCCAGGAATGTACGAACAGTTGCTGCAATGCTACCACCTGTACCCTGAAGCCAGATGCTGTGTGCGCACATGGGCTGTGCTGTGAAGACTGTCGGGTAAGTTCTCTCAGCCCCAAGGCCGCCTCAGGTTCAGGTGCTTCCACAGTGACATAGGATGAGAAAGGCGAAGGATAGCTTCTGGACCCCTCTGCTGTGAAAACCATAACGCCTCACCACCCAAGCTGGTGAACCCCACTGTCATCCAGTCTTCGTGTGAAATGCATACTTTATTTATTTATGTAATTTTTTTGAGAGTGAGAGAATCCACTAGCAAGAGAGGGGCAGATAGAGAGGGAGAGGGAATCCCAAGCAGCCTCTACAGTGTCAGTGTAGAGCCCCCCTCAGAGCTCGAACTCACAGACTGTGAGATTGTGACCTGAGCCGAAACCAAGAGTCAAAGGCTTAACCGGCTGAGCCACCCAGGCGCCCCCTCCAATCTTCATGTGAAATGCACACTTGAATGCCAAGTCATCGGTGATGGGTTATTTATTTATGGGTTGGAAAGGAATTGTTCCCCAAAACTCTGGCTCAGTTTTACACACTCCAGTTGTGCTGCTGGACACTGGTGAGGTCCTAGCACCATGATGGCAGCAGCTGGAGAGTGAGGCCCCACCCTGGTCACTCAGCCCCCATTCTATCCCAAGAACACCTACCTGCTGGGCTGAGAAGCCACATGGGTTGTGCCAGGGGATTTATGTAAACACCTTGATCTTGATGTCCTCCTAACACAAGGACTGGTGGACCCAGCCCAACCCAACCAATCACGGCCATTTGATACTTTTGTCATTGCTGCTGCCGTGACAAAGTGCCATTTGTTTTGGCAATTCCATTATTTGTCTCATTACTCAGGGCTGAGATCTGATCAAAGAGAAGCCTGAGCTTTCGATTCAAAGGTTCCAAGGGTAGACTTTCTTTCTTTTTTAATTAAGTGATTGATCTTGGCATTCTGCTAGTAGGAAACTCCCTCTCAGCTCCCCAGCCAGAGCCCAGTGATTCAGAAGTGAATTACAGCATCTTACGTTCAGCTTAAAATATTTCTCCTGCCCTTTCTATTTATGATTAACTTCTGGGGGATGTTCAAGAAAGCTGGCACCCCTCCCCTGGCACCCAGCTGCTGGCAGTGGAAGAGGGAAGGTGGGGGTGGGGCAGGTCACGGGCTGTGTAGCCTCTGACAAGCCACTCTGAGCCTCAGTTTTTCAACCACAGAAAGACGAGGCATTGGCCAATGTTTCCTAACATTTTTTATTGTTCCCTTGCTTCACTTCTCCCCTGTGAAGTCCTACAGACAGGTTTCCAATGCCATGATTTGATGACAAAGTGAAATATTATTGTCACCGAGCCCTTGGAATGATTTTTGTCATCTTGGCCACAGTGCTAACACTTAAGAACAAGCTTCATCTTCAGACACATGACAGCATTGGTGACCAGAGATCTTCTTCAGAATTGAGGAGTCCATCAGACAGCACTCCCTTCCCATGCCTCCTTTGAGGTGACACATGCCAGCAACCAGCCTGTCTCCTCATCAGAAGACCCTAATATTGCATGAAATTAAAAAGAGGCAGCTCTTGGGGCACCTGAGTGGTTCAGTTGGTTAAGCATTCAACTTTGGCTCTGGTCACGATCTCATGGTTTGTGAGTTCAAGTCCCATATCAGTCTCTGTGCTGACAGCTCAGAGCCTGGAGCCTGCTTCAGATTCTGTGTCTCCCTCTCTCTCTGCCCTCACCTGCTCACACTCTGTCTCTCTTTTTCAAAAATAAACATGAAAAATATTTTTAAAAAAATTTTTAATGTTTATTTCTAAGAGAGAGACAGCATGAGCTGGGGAGGGTCAGAGAGAGGGAGACACAGAATCTGAAATAGGCTCCAGGCTCTGAGCTGTCAGCACAGAGCCCGACGCGGGGCTCGATCCCACGAACCGTGAGATCATGACCTGAGCCGAAGTCGGATGCTTAACCGACTAAGCCACCCAGGTCCCCCTAAAAATATTTTTTAAAAAGAGGCTACTCTTGATTACACCCCTCCCTAGTGGAAAGGTGAACCCCAGATCCCAGAGCAAGATTCTGTTTGTTTAATGACTCTCTGTGCCTCTCTCTTCCTTTGGAATCCTTGCCCCTTAATGCCCGTCGCTCCATTCTGCCCCAGGAGTGCCGCCAGGAAGTTGCCTCCCCTTCCCTGCGGTGCACGTGCTATAAACAGCCTCTCCTTCCAGCTAAAGCCTGCGGGAACGGCATGCAGGGACTCCAGCAATTCCTGCGACCTCCCCGAGTTCTGCACGGGTGCCAGCCCCCACTGCCCAGCCAACGTGTACCTGCATGACGGGCACCCGTGCCAGGGGGTAGACGGCTACTGCTACAACGGCATCTGTCAGACCCACGAGCAACAGTGCGTCACGCTCTGGGGACCAGGTATGTGGCCGCCAATGGTGGGCGCAGAGTCGTAGGGCTGGGGGACTCACTCTGTTTCCATAAGCGTCACTCCTGCGCCGCTCCATCTACAAAGCTTCCATCCTTTCAGCTAAAGTGATTGGCTTCCTGGCAGACCTGGGGCCGAGCTGGTCACTGGGCGTGCAGAAATGGGCACTGCCTGGAGCCCGCCCCAAAGGCTCAATGTGGTCCAATGAGAGATGTGTGTGCACCTACTGAGGGCAAGGAGGGAGGACGAGGAGAATCAGTCATGACCCCTGCCCTCAGATGGCTTAACAGGTAGTTGGGCAGACAGATAGGACTTCCCACTCGCTCTGATTACGTAAGTGCTTCTTGATGCTGGAGCAAGAGAAAGTCACTGCAGACTTGCTGCGTGAGGAGTCTGGGACCAGGAAAGACACAGAGGAGTCATTCCTGACACAGGGAGCAGCAAGCTAGCCCTCAGACAGGAAGGCACACGGAAGGGGCTGCCAGGGTGGGAGCCCCAGACCCCCGAGTGCAGAGGAAGAACATGGAGACAGGTGTCTGAGAGCCTTGAGAGGCACTTGGGTTCTAAAAGCAGAATGCTGGACGTGTGTATTCCCAAAAAAGGCACCCAGATGGGCAGGTGGCCAGGAAGCAGCTGCTGGGGTGGTTAGGGGCTGTCCACTCACCACTTCCTGTGCATAGGATGCTGGGCCAGATGCTCAGCATGACTCGTCCCTTCCACCCCTCCACCATTAGCAAGGTTGGGGAAATGACTACAGTTTAGAGAAGGCAAAGCTGAAATTCAGAGACTGGAAGTCAGCTTCCTGGTGTAAGGCTGGGATTGGAGCCCAGGCCAATGGACCCAAAAGCCATACGTAATGGACACCATGCAGTTGCACGAAAGAGCCAGGCCCAGAACAAAAGTTCCAGAGGCTCTGCAGTCGAATGGATGCTTGGATGTCAAAGAAGGAATCATGGGTCCCCTGGACATGGCTCTCTGGTGACCAGAGCTCCCAGGCCCTGTGGGGAAGCCGGGGCCCTGAGGACTCCTCACCCCGGGGTTTGCTGCCTCTATCCTGCTCCGGGATTCCAGCAGTGACTACAGGCCCCCAGAGAGCACTTTCCAAGAGTGCGGTCCCCACCCGTCTGGCCATCCTCCCTCCTCCCTGCCGCCTGCAGAGGTGACCTCAGTTCTGGCCAGGGACGCCAGCTGTGGCAAGGCCACTGTGGTCAGCCAGGCAGAGAGCCAGGCAGGCTCTAGGGGGAGGGAAACCCGATATGGGCCTTCGTCAGACTTTCACTGTGAGGCCTCGGTTTCAGGAATGATGAGGGCAGCATACTGGGATGGAGAGTGATGACTGGTCACCAAAGCTGGGGTGTTCAATGTGATGTGAGAGCAGTGACCAAGCAGGGAGAACAAAGACAGATGTTTCTGAGAGTTGGGTCCTGCCATGGAGCCCACCGGCCCCCCACCAGCCAAAGACGCTCCTCTGTCCTTGGACCTCCCGGAGGGGCCAGAAGAAGCCGAATGGTACAGAAACAAGGGGCTCATGCAGCCTGTTCATGGTACCTGGGAGGAGCCCTCCCCGCACTCCTCAGGCCACGTGGGCACAGAAGGAGGAGGCCTGTGGTGCCTGCGGCCTTCTGCTTCGTCTGGGGACCCTGAGCCCCGCAGTCCTGGCCCCCCAGGCAAGGGAGGGGTCTCTCTATCCCATGCTGGGTGAGTGCCTCGCCAAGACCAGCACAGAGGAGGAGGTACTCACAATAAACATGTCAGATGCCTGGATGGGCTCTGAATGGTTTAGTGACTTCAGATGCCTTTTAGCCAAGTGAGGTCACTTTGGGACAGCGGCTACCGCTGCAGGCCAAACCCTCACGGCCTAAAGCATCCCTAGTGGCCACTCCTCCCCAGCCTTCCTCCGGACTCGGTAATCTCCCCCTTCCTGAGTTACAGGGGCTGTCACGATGCTTCCTTACAAAAAAGGGTTCGGTGGCCAAAGCTCACACAGCACTTGGGGCCTTTGGAGTGAAATGCACTCTCTGGTGCCCCACTATATGACAGCGCCTGGCCCCACCTCCGCAGTGAGGTCAGCTGGAACTCCACGGCTTTCTCTGAGCCACCGCCACGGGGTGACTCAGCTGGCTGCGAGCCTTGGATTCCTGGTGACCAAGGCTGGTATTTATCTCATCAGATTAGTCCTCCTCAAGCTGCCTGAGCATTGAGAGAGAGAGAGAGAGAGAGAGAGAGAGGGAAAGCCAGCCAGGCAGGCAAACTGACAGCCTGACTCATGGACTGAGCTTTTCAAAAGCAAGAGTGGTAGGAAGTTCCCTCCTTTGAATTCTCAACATCCTTGTGGCTGGCGGTGAGGCTGGCAGCCTGGATGCCCGGGGACCTGCACCAGCTCCGCAGGAGGGCTGCTTCCCTGGGGCTCCCAGCTCGCCTCTTCTCTCCCCTCCCGCCCCCTGAGGGCCGACGAGGCCTTTGCCTGGGCAGTGGCGCATTTGCCACGAGAGGGTCGCTGCACGTGGACCGAGCCTCCCTGGAAATGACAAGCTTGGGAACCCACCTCAGGCTCAGGACTTCCACGGGTTCAGTGTACTCCGGCCAACTCTTTCCTGGTACTTCCGGTCGCTGCACAAACTCCCTCAGGAGGACAGGGGACATGTGTGCCAGAACTAACAGAGGCCCTCCACACCGGGGACCTTCTCAGAAGGGCCTCTCACCACCTCCTGTGGAAATGCAGTGTGTTCCTTCCCTCCCTATCTGTGCAGCTGTCTCGTGGTGTAGTTTGAGAGCACCGCCTGAGTTTCCTGTGGCTGCTGTAACAAATTACCACAAATTTGGAGGCTTGTGACAACATAGATTTGTCATCTTCTAGTCCTGCGAGTTGGAAGTCCTAAAATCAAGATGTTGGCAGGGCAACATTACTTCTGCAGGCTCGAGGGAGAGTGTATTTCTCGGCCTCCTCCAGCTTCCTGAGGCCCCTACATTCCTTGGCCCATGGCCCTTCCTCCATCTTCAAGGTCAGCGGCATGCATCTGCCCGTCTCTGTCTCTCCCTGGCTTCTCCTTCCGTAGTCCCATCTTCTCTGAGTCGGACCCTCCTGTCTCCCTTTTCTAAGGGTCCTGTGATCACGTTGCCCCGATTCAGATCATTCAGGAGAATCCCCCATCCCCAAATCCTTAATCACATCTTTGAAGCCCCTTTGTCGCATAAGGTAACATTCACACGTTCTGAGGATTAGGACACAGGCCTCTTAGTGGGGAAGGGGGGCCTTTTTCTGCCTGCCACAGTTGTTAAACAGACCACTTACTAACAAGGTGACCTTCAATACGTCTACTCAACCTTTGTGCCTCTTCTGTAAAATGGGGATTGTAGTATGTCCAGCCTGTGGGTGTGTTGTTGTCCTCTAACATAGCCTATTACCCATCGTACGTAAGATGTCACATGCTAGATGCATGATGCCTGGTAAGTCCAAACTCTACCAATATGACGTGACCAAGCTCATGGGAAGTTTGTGGACTAGGGAGCAAGATCCTCAGAGAGCTGTGATGTGGTGAGGCATGGTCCAGGGAGGGCTCAACCCGGCGTGTGGCATGGAGCCAGTCAGGAAGGCGTACTAGACAAGGTTGCCCTGAAGAAGTCATTGGGCAGGGGTGGGAGGGGAAGGGTATTTCCTGCATATGGAATAGCAGCGGTCAAGGTGCAAAGAAACAGCGGGGCCGTCCCAGGCAACTGCAGGTAGTTCTGCTTGTCCAGAGCTTGGACTGTGACCTAGAGAGCAGAGATCCTCATTTGTTACCCGTTCTCTCATTTGTTAAATATTCACGGATGTCCTGCTATTCTAAAATGCTGACTCAAGAGCCCTGGTTCTGGCAAACTGACATGCTTCCCACAGTCCCTCTGCGCTATAGCCTGGACCTGGAGTAGAGTCAGGATGTGACCGTCACAGTCCCAGGGCAGGGGCGATTTCCTCAGCCAGGCCTCTGGCCAACTAGACGGACCAGGCTGGGAGCACTCTAATGCTGTGTTATAGAGGTTGGTTTGAATTCGCTTTTCACAATTCAGAAAAAGAAAACTTGTGGTCAAAGACGCATTTGCAATATTCATCTCCCCATGATTAGCAAATGCTCTGGGAGCTGGAGCACATTTGCGTTAGGGTCATTTGAGGCTCCCTACAAGCCCCAGTGACTCAGAGCTCCAGGATTCATAGAGCCCCTACTTCTGCTGACCTGTGCCACACATACCCCCATGACCCAACCGAACTGTGGAGTCATTGGAGCGTCCAGTTACACTCAGGAAGTCCGTTACCCTCCAGACCTGGCTCCCCAAACACTGACCGGATAAAGCCCTTCCTTCCAGCTAACTATTCCCTTTTGAAATGGACATTTCTCAATCCAGCATTATATTTCAATAAATTAATCCTGCCTCCAAATCTTTCTACAAATAGAATGATAGAAAATTCAAAACATATGCCTCCAACTCCCAACTAGCAAAGCAAGATACTTTTTCTTTTTCTTGTTAGGTTTAGTTATTTATTTTGAGAGAGACAGAGTGCAAGATGGGCAGGGGCAGAGAGAGAGGGACAGAGAGAGAGAGCCCCAGGCAGGACCCAGACGGTCAGCACAGGGCCCACTGTGGGCCCCATGCGGGCTTCCAACTCCCCAACCATGAGGTCATGACCTGAGCCGAGGTCGGACGCTTAACGGACTGAGCCACCCAGGTGCCCCCAATGTAAGATACTTCTAGAATGCCTTTTGGGTTTTTTGTTCATTTGTCTCCTTTCCAAATTATTGTCAATAATGTTCTTGCTGGCGAGAAGCAATTCCACCCAGTCCCTGATTTTTCTTCCACAAATGTTGTATCTCAAGACTTTCTATGTTGATGTCAAACACAGAAATGTCATCTGCAGTTCAAACTGTAACTTGTATTTAGCTCTCTTAGTCCAGTTTGGTCTTAACAGCCACAGAGATTTTCTGTCAATGTGATATGACCTTTATTCCTTCTGAAATAA